AATTTCACCCGAATCAGCAATCACCACCTTTTTTCTGGGTTTTCCGCTGTAAGTACCGGCTCCCCCTTCGATTGCATACACCGTATCCATGCCTTCAATCACTTTTCCAAACACCACATGTTCCCCGTCCAACCTGCAAATTTCCCAAACATGGAAAATATGAGCCCATGATCTCCTCCACAGAGGTAGGGTCTGGGGAAATAAAATAAACAAGCAAGCAGGCTGATACGCGTGAGAGTGTGTAAGGACGCAAAGAGTACGATAAACAGAAATAAGACCACCATCAATTAATCATTTCTCATCAATGTGATGCTCTATAAGCATGAAAGCTTACCAGTAGGCCTTAACTGTGGTGATGAAGAACTGCGCACCATTAGAATCTGGACCTGAATTCACCATGGCCACCATGCCTGCAAGAACGGTAGCTTTAGAAGATAATAACATACTACGTTTGAGAATATAAGAACAATCCTTCTCAGCTTATTTAATGTATGGAATTAGTAGTAGGTGAAGGACCTGCGTGTGAATGCTTGATCTTAAAATTTTCGTCACGAAAAACTCCACCATAGATGGATTCATTTCCTCTCCCGTTGCCATAGACAGTATCTCCACCTTGAATCATGAAACCAGGTATTATACGATGGAAAGGCGTTCCCTTATAGTGTAGTGGTTTACCACTCGAACCCTTGCCCAGTTCCCCTAATTCCAAAAAGAAGTTAGATTCAGTAATGTGAACCATTCTCGATATAAATTCCTGAAACAAAATCGTGTATGTATATCTAGTTTTTCTCCATTCTTTTTTTGTTTGTCCTGTTCCCTTTCTTTTTCTGAAGTGGGGGAGAGGGAGGTAGATGATATGATTAGATATACAAGAATCTGGAACACCAGTTACCTGTGCACAGAGCTCGAAAGTTTTCTGCAAAGAAAAAGAAGTATTTGTTAATTAGATAAAAAAAACAAGTAATCATATTGTTAGTTTGGCTTCTCATGCATGCAAGGCGGTTGATTTAATCACTCTATCAGACTTTGAAAGTTGAAAAGGCGACCTGGGTGTACCAGGATTCATGAGTTTTGTGAGGGTTAGAGGAGGATGTCTTTGTACAGTCTTTTACTGGGGGTGAGTTGAGCGGACCTTCCATCACAAAGGACAAACATTATTGATTGCTTCAAGGCTCGCCCATTAGCAGAAATTAAGTTTAGAGGAAAACACCAAGTCCTTATGATGTTCTAGACCCAGAAGACTACCGAGTGGATCAACATGTATATACAAGTGTTGCTAAAATGCACCGACAGGTAATAGTTACAACTGATAGTAACTAATGAGTTCTCTTAAGAACGTGATCGCCATAGCATTAGGATCATTGCACGAACTATGATTATTTGAGTATATCCATCAAGGAACAAAGAAAGAACCAAAATGGCTGTGAGGAGTATTATAGACAGCACATGTGATCATAAGATATTGTTGGTAAATTAGAGAACAACTTCCTGAAATTCAATGAAGAAAACACGCAGACAAGAAGTGAATGAATTGTGCATTTCCAAAATATTCACTTTGAATCCCCCATCTAGAAATAAAGAAGCCAAACAGAAAATTGAAGGCTTACCAACAGTTTTTGGTACAACTTCACCATACAATGCAATAACAATTCTTCCTGCAGTACAAGCATAAGGTAAGCAAAATGAGTTACAGATAAGTGTGTGCTAAACTTTAAATAGCAAAATTTGAATTCATACGATCTGTCAAAGAACTAAGGTTTGTAAGCTCTTATATTTCTTGTATTGTGCATTTAACTAATTGTAAAGCAAAGCTAAAGTAGAATAGGTTTCGTTCATGGTCATGAAAAGACTGAAAGCAAATTCATGAGCCATAGTGGAATTTATAAAACAAAAAACACAGTTGAAATTTCTACATTAATGACATTGCAAATCATATGCCATTGATAGAAATGAAGGACCATACCTAATCGTTGCTTATCAATATCAACATCAAGAAATGCTCTATGGGTAATTTCATGCACCTCTTCCATCGTATYTTCCTCCTAAACAGAGATCAGGTTACTTCCGACAGGTTACAATGAAATAACAAGATAGATAACCATCAATTGCCAAAAAWHTTATCATATAGGACTCGTTGGAAAGGAATCCAGTCCATCAATATGAAGTAGAATAACTTGTAAAAGGGTTATAGCAATATAATTTGGATTTACTTTAAAACATGGATTGCTGTCCTTCTAGGATGGAGAAACGCATTAATAGAAAATCCAAATACCATCTTGGCCTTCACCCATCTAGGAATATCCCTCCGTCTAACTCTAAATACATACACAAGTAAGATCTTTCATTCAAATAATTTGCCACCTAACTTCTGTACTACCTCATATGCAATCAAAAATACCAAACTACTAAAACTATAGATCGTAAAGGCAGGCACACTAAATTATTATATTATGAAGCACACAGGTCCTAAACCTATTTACATATTCAAGAAAACTTATACATCTATACACTTGTACAGAAGTCACAGATTGGTTGTAATTTGACCACCCATAAGTACATGAAATATTCGTCTACTATCTAGAAGAGTAGCAAAAGATAAATCCATTATAAAGATAGCCAAACCCACTGAAAAATGAAGTTCCTAAGGTCTCCATGGTCGATGATTAATTAGATGGCAATTGAAAAAATAAGGAATTTGTTACTCTACCACCCAAAAATACAACAAAGCCAATTACAAACCTCACAAAATCACCAAGTATAGAAAGAATGGTAAATCTATAAAAAGAACTGAAAATAAGATCGGCTGATACTTAAAATTCATGTTATCCATCAAAGAACTAAACATTTCTGCACTCACATATGGACAGGCTCATTTGTCCAACTGTGTGCAATATGATTAAACTGAGAAACTTATTTGAGCAGTCAAAGAGGAATCAACATGAAAACAGTTGACAAAACTGAAAGAACCTTGCAAACACCGCAATGGACAAGGATTACAAGGCTCCAAACATTTATGAATAAACCGAGATTGACACTTGACAAAGTTTACGAGATATGAGCAAGTTACTAGAAGTTCTTCGCTCTTATCATATTATCTTAGTTTCTCCGAAGTAGAAATGTGAGCAGGATCCTTCAAAGGAAACATGATCCAAATATTCAAGAGCTAGTGAATGGTATTGTCAAGACCACGGTGCTTATGATCCTCTAATGATGGGATGTTCTACTATCATTCAATATGTCATGAAGCTAGCTCTGATATGCATATGTATAGCCAAAAGCATAAGCTCTACAACATTTATATTCTAAAGAACATCCAATTATGACCAGGGAGTAAACATAAACGAAACAGAGCAAGTAGAACCACAAATGCAGCAAAACAATTTCAATGTGCTACACAAATACGGTATAGAACTCATCGAAATGGCAAGAGAATTTTTTTTGCTCTAGACTGAACAACAGGAGATAAACGACTCAGTAGCGATCATGCTGACCTCAAGGAATCTATGTTACTGATAAATGTTGCTGAGTGAAGAGATACAAGGTAAGTAACAACATAAGATGGAGGAGCTTACTTCAACTACTTATTTAGCTACTTTAAGTCATTGTAATCCATAAATAAGAATAAACCTTCACTTGCCAAATACTTTAAACTACTTCTACATTAAATCATCAATAGTCATTTTACCAATTCCTTCAGAAAAAAATTAACTTCCACTTTTCAAAGGAAGTGAAAATTTTGAGCAAACACATCAGGCTTTTCACAGGAGAGGGAAAACTTCATAGCAAAAGTTCCACTAGAATGACAGCAGAAGCATAACTCCAGCTACTAGCAAACCTTTTGCTTTATCTACTTACCATGAAATCAAGATTGACCCACTACCCATATCACAAATCCCCCAACTTTCTTAACTGCGCTAACTCATATCAGATGAACATCATTCGAGCAAATCAGGTGTTAATCACATTGGATAGTATGCATTAATGACGTACAAGTTCAATTAAATTATGCATTAACAAAACAGAAGACGAATTTGGTGAATTGTTCGCTGAAACTATAATTATCAGTTCTGCCGCAAATTGTATCATTACAACTGCACCTAATCCTCTTCTACTATGCTTTGGATGCAATGTTGCTTCATGTAAACACATAAATCAGAAGAAACCCTTTGAATCCCTTTCAATTCGTAAGTAGATCCAAATCCTATTCAATTCTAATAAATGTCTGTGTTGATAAAGGCATTACCTGTTGAGAGAATGACGAGAAAGCGAGGAAGACGAAAACTGAACCGATCAAGAAGATAACAAGGAATCGCGGCCGTAATAGATTCCAGATCTCTCGACCCATCTCTGATTCAGATTCTTCTTCTTTCTCATACATTCATCCAATCTCAAAAGAAAAACCAAATGAATTCAGCAATATCTAACAATATTTCTTCAAGAATCATGAAACCCCCACCGACCTAACTTCAAAAAAGATCAGACCCCACTACCAGCAGTCCACCATGACTGTCAGTGGAATCGATTCTTGTTAAGCTGTTGTATTGAAGCGATGGGGATGGTTCTCTACTCCTTAAATCCTCCGGTTAATTGGGTGATTATGAGATCACGTAAAACCGATGGATCTGTTGTCGGTTTCGTATATTAATTCGTCTTCTTGAATCTTGATCACATACGCAGGAGATTTTAGTTTCACATGCCAGGTGTTTGAAGAATTGTCCCAGTTGACTAAATGAAGTCCATCGCATCGTAATTGTATGCAACCATCACATTTTCAAGTTCTAATAAAATTACGCGTACGCGATAACGTGAGTAATTTGATTACATGTTGTAGATTGTATATATAAATAACTAGAAGCGTATTCGAGCAATACAACGAAATACATCTTTCTTTTAATGTTTTGTTTTATTTTTATGTTTTGTTGATATAATGCGGTCTACATAGTTATGAGAAAAATAATATTTTTATTTTTAAATAAAAATAAATTTAAATATTTCATAAAATTTTGAAAAAATATATCGATATTAATATCAAATTAAATGTTTAATTTTTTTTTTTACAATTTATTTAATTGAATTTTTTTATTATAATTCAATTTAAGTCAAATATTGAAATAATTTATTTTTGGCTTAAATTTTTTATAAAGATAATGATTATGTTATAACTCAATAATTATCTTAACTATATTTAAATTTTTATATTTAAAAATGAGATGTTTATCTTATATTTGATTAGGTTTATCTGCAGTTAGTTATACAAATTCAAAAATAGAGTTTTAATAAGTTATATTTATGTATAATTTACTTGTAATTTTAAATTTTAAGTAATATGCATTAATACACAGTAGTTCGTGCATAAAGAATAGTTTTTAAGAGTTTTTGTCAAATGATTTATAATATAGTATAGATAGTTAATTGTTAAATATAATAATTAATAAATTATGTCTATATGATTTATAAAAGATATATATATATATATATATATATATATATTATCATTCTTAAGAAATAAAGTTGTAAAATAAAATAACGTTAAAGATCATCATGTGGATAATGTATGCATTATTTGTATAATTGATGACATTGCATGAAATTTTTTGTTTTTAAAAGATAATAGTTCATTTGACAATTTTATTAAGGTAAACAAAAGTATACCTAAATGGCATGGTGACTATCATCCAAACGCATACTCACGCTCCAAAATAGGACATACCCCAAATGTTTATGTGGTATGCAATCAAGAATAATATGAAAGATTGGAATGAATTTGAAATCCAAATCTCTAAATCAATTACATTTCTGCAAACCAAACGAAACCTTATTGTTTTCGGTTTTATTTGGTCCCTTTCTTTCGTAGTTGTTGTTGTAGAGGTTTTTTCTTGCTCTTTATTGTTTATATGTTTTAATATTATCAAAAAGCAATATAATATACCCATAAACGTATACTTTATAAAATGAGTTACCAAAAATGAAAATCAAATGAAAGTATGTATTCTGTCCTAAAATAAGCGTACAATATCGCAAATAATTTTACACAATTTGCAACAAAAAATGAATTACCGTGGTCACAACCGTTTTTGACATACTTTAATATTGTTTTTGAATTTCAACAAGTATAATAGTTATTTTACAGTAAAAATATAAGTACGTCGTATCTCATATATAGAAGGTTTTAATCTATTAGTTTAGAGAATTACCGTGGTCACAATCGTTATTTTACTTTTTTTTATCTATAATTGATGCTTCCCCTAAATCGAGATCCTAGCTCCACTAGTGGTTACAACGACGATAACCTTGTCTTAGCTTCTTCATGGAAATCGTATGCTTTGAGGACCACCTTGATCCAAGTATGTAGTTTCTCAGACGACCTCTAGAACAATGTAATCTCAAAATTATTGCAAGACCAACAAGCGTTTTTCTATATTGAAGGGTATTTTAGTAATATAACATGTTCAAATATTTGATGGTCCTCGAAGTAGGAGTACATTTAGCAAACACTAGGAGAAAGCTCAAAATAAAGATCAAAAAAGTTCACAAGTTGTCTTATATCTGTAGGTCCTCATAAGCATATCTGTAAAAATATTACCAACAAATAGAACCATGAGTCGATTTTCATTTTATAGGCCTCGGTCTTGATGGCAACAACAAAAATACAAATGGGACCCACAAACTGAAGATCTTAACAGATTGAGTCTAATCAGCGTACAACTAGGAAACGAGTATTTCTTTGGTTCCATTTGCCTATTAGCCTGAAAACAAACATAAACTACTGTCACTTGAACAGAAACACAAACATATCATATAATATGTGTGCGTGTGTCATGTCTCTCCCATCCCTGACGTTTTGCCTATCGGGCAGGCGGACGTTCCAAACGGGCAAAATTATGTTTTCGCAATATGGTTGGAGATGCCGTTAGTAAACCATAAAACAAAAGAACAAAAGATGGATAATGTAACTGAACCGTGAACTGAAAACAAACCTGATGAGACACCACCGCCATGATGGCGACCGATGTACATCATGGTTTTGTTCACCAAAGGCAAATCCGCCACTTCTTTCCTCGCTTCCAACAACTTTTCACTGCCCGATTCCATGAAAATCACGACGTTAGAAGCAAAACAAGTGTCTAAACCATGTCGTCATACGTTAACCTAAAAGACGCATCACGCTAAGACTTTAATGTTATCATGATTCATACGGATCAGAAACTCGAAAATGGTTGTTCCTTGCAAGCCCATAACAGTCATATATGCATTGATAAACATTCAAAACTAGTCGATCGTAAAGACCCATGTACAAACCGCTCTACTTTTTTAAGTAAATGTGAGGTCAGCATAAAAATTTATTGGTGACCACTTATACATATTTTAGCCTTACCTAATTGCAGTTGTAATTGTAGGGTAATAGATGGATGTACCTGGTGTAGGGTGATGGGCAGAAAATGATGACGTAATCGGCGCCGGCGCAGGTGAAGGTGCTGGTTTTATCATCATAAGCATAGCTGTAAGACCGCGGGCAAACATGCTTAAAATACTCCGAGTACTCCGTCGGCGGGCATGTCTCCGGCGTATTATACCCTTCACTACAACAATACCTGGGATCTCCAAACGCTTCACACGCGCTCTTACACGCCACCACGCTCCCACTCCTACTGGAACGCGCCACCCTCAGAGCCGTCGGACAACCGCCGTTCAAATCAACTAAACAACCAGTGGAGCTGCATCCCCCACTTGTACCATCCCTCGGAATCACCAGCATCGGGAGGTTGTACCCATCCACCAAGCTGACGTCATAGAAATCCAAACCCTGGTCGCCGTTGAGCGTAAATTCCGCCAGCGTGGCCGGCGGTTCAGCGCCACGGCCTTCGCACTCCACTCTACCGGAGCCACAGTCGGCAGTGACACAAGCCAATTTTCCGGTGGAATCTATCTGACAATCGGTTCGACCCCATAACCGACCCGACCAGGCTACAGGTACTCGTAGGGTTCTAGATTTTCCAGGCTTTAGAGTGAAACCCGTGGGATTAAGCACCGTTCTACCCGCACCGGTGAGTATCCCCGGCCATACAGTGTGGCGGCATCTGTTGACGATCTTGAAGGACGTCGATTGTACCACTGCACCCATCAAACAAAAGGAAATTTCGTGAAAGAAATGGAAGAAAGAATCGGCGATTGGTGGAATTAAAGCAGAAGAATACCTGAAATGACTGAAAACGTGAAGATCAGAGTGAGAATGATTGGATGACGATGACGATCCATTTGGGAAGAAGAGAAGAATGAAGTGGGGAGTTGGATTGAATAAAGGGTTAGGGAAGAAAAGGGAAAGGGAAGACAGCCCAAAAGCAGAGATTGGATTTCATGTTCCATCCATTTTCCCACCAAAATTATTAATCTTGTTTATGGATTGGATTATCCACTTAAACATCTTTATCAACAATTTTGTATCCAAATTTAAATGAATATTAAATATGCAAATTTGATTGGTACATAATAMAAAAGAATGTCATGAACAAAGTCTCGTTATTTTTCACTATTACCAAGACATCATCCTTTTCTTCCTCATCAAATATCACATCTCTCTTGATTACAACTTTTCCAGAGATTGGGTCGTACATGTTTTAGGCTTTGGACTTTCCACTAACGCATTTTCCAAAAAAATTCATTTGTGTCTCTTTTCATCCAGCTTTATTCTCACCTGGTTGGAAATATGAACTTGACCAAAGTAGTCAATATTGGACTTACTGTTACTCCAACATTTTTGTGGTGTCTGATCTTTTACCGTCATAATGGCTTCTATTTAGGATGTGTACAACCCACTTAGCTGCTTCACCCCAAAATATCATTGACATGTTTTTCTCACTTAACAGACATCGAACCATCTCCATGAAGAGGTCCAGTTGCTCTCCAATTTGCAGTCTTCGGAATTGAGACTCAATGTTGTTTTCCTTTAGCACAGGTTTCACATACTTCTCTTATATTTTGAATTGAGGGCAGAGCGTACACCACCACCAGCTTCTTGGACAAACAATATAAACTTTCTTGGTTCAACTGACCATACCTTATATGCCAAATCCTTTTGCATCGAACTTTTTGTTTGTAGGCATATATATGATGTAATCATAATCAATCCCCAATCATCATGAAATATCTTGCATGACCCATCTCAATAATATATATATATATATATATATATATCGTCTTTTTAAGTTGGCCTAAACTGAGAAGGTTTGCAGTCAATTTGGATACGTAGTATACAATACTATACATCGCTTATCACATGGGTTCTTCCTTCTATAATAAGCCTTGCACCTACTTGCTTCACCAAGTGTGAAATTCATCATCAAAGGTTTCAAACCACTTTTTATCTCCTGTTCATATGGTTCCAATAACCCGAGTCTAAGAATCAAACATCTTCCTTTTGTTGTTTCTTTTTTTCTTTGTTACAATAAAAATGTCTTTTTTTGCTTTGCTACCATAAAAATGTTGTTATATCTTCAGTTTCTTCTTTGATTTGTTAAAATAGAAATGTTGTTGCTATAAACATTTGTTTTTATGTTATATAAACTCATCAGATTTCTTAATCAATGTACCAAGGCAAGGAATCAAAGAACTATTCATACCTAATGTAGAGAGTTTAGACTTGTGTTCCCGTGTTTCTTATTCACTCGATAACAGCCATGGGAGGTTTGTGATTTACCCTTTGTTAGGAATGTTCACCTTAGGAGTTTTATGGGGGTTCATTAAAAAATTTAAATTTTAATTCGAGATAAGCATATACACATCTTATATTTTATTTTAAATTTGCATATCATATTATATACGTGTATGGTTTTATTGAGTGAATCAATGATATTAGATAATTTAAATTAGATTATATAGTAAATACTAAAAACTAGTACACTAAAAGGCTATGACATGTCACAAGCTTAATATGGTACCATACACGAGTCTTGAATCATGCCATGCCAACTGCTGCCGCGAGCCCTTTTAAAACACCGATTAAAAGTCGGTATTTGAACTTGAAATGTTACAAATGATATGAAGATGGTTTCTGCTTCTTTTTAAGATGCATAAGGTGGATTTGAACATCAAGTATCAACCCCTTCAAAAAATTAAATTTGATTCATTTTATAACAAGAGTGAATACAACCTTTAAATTACTCGTAATGGTAATAAACGAACAACATGAACATATGGTAATAAACGTACAATGGTTTCTCATTCTACCAGACTTACCAGTTATGCAATCGGATTTCAAAATCCTATGTTTATAGGAATTCAATGAAAAATCGGGATTTCGAATCCATAAGATCTTCAAACTAAACATAGGATTGGAATGAAATTCAGATCCAAATCCTTTAAATTTTGATCCAAACATCCGAACCAAACCGGACCTTAGTATTCATGTTTGCAAACTATCCCTCAAACCAAAACTGGAATGAAATTGAATTCCAAATCCTATCCAATCCTACAAACCAAACAGGAATCTATGATACAGAACACCACAAAACGAGTCAAAAGGCTCAAGCATTGTAACCAAGAAGTCCAATTTCATTGTTGGTGTGAGAAACCATAGTGATCAAAATGAACAATAGCTCGATCAAATCAAGCTCCATTTTAAGTTCACGAACTTCAACTTCAAGCAACAACTACTTTTGCTGACAAATATGTAGTCTCTGAAGCAAATTAGAAAGCAAGAAGATGTGATCCGTGAATGCTTCAAACACTCAAAAGAAACAACCCAATAGTTGCAGAATATGAACTTTTACTATGAATATGTAGATACCAAATGCCAAAAAGCAAGTAATGAAAACAACCACAACTCAAAGGATGAAAATTAGACTCGTATTCGATAAATAACCCTTTGCAAAAAGACACAAAAAAGCGAAATCTGAACTCATGAACACTACAACATGTTCACCTAGAAGAAAGGGGGTTGCCACATATGGGATTATCAAATAGATTGTAAACAAATCGTGTGATCTGATCACGAAGAGAACTGTCGATTGTGTTCTAATAGGTTTCTTACAACGAAGAACACGATACTTCTTGATAACAAGAAGAAGATACAAAGAACTCTTAGGAAAGGGGCAACCTTTTCTTAACTCTATCGATGTTCTTAAAGCTCATTCTTACAAAATGAAGAATTAGTAGCCTTTTTCAAATGAACATACTTAGCTAGCTAGCTAGTCGAAAACAAGTTGTCTTTAAGCTTTCTGTCAATCTATGTGTGTATAACATGATTAAACTAATACTTTACATATTCAGGAAAGAAAGAGATGAGTTCTTCTAACAAAAGTGAAATATGATTACAAATTGTTGGCATTTCTATCATCAAGAACACTCCTAACATATAGCAGAAGAAAGGGTATGCAGAATGATCGTTGTTTAAATCCGTACAAAAGATACCTCAAACAATGAAAGAATTTGAAAGAATTCTTGATTTTGATCATGAAGAAACTTCTTAATTAACATCATGTTTGGCTTTGCTTTGAAACCAACATTCAAGATTAGTTGTACTCGAAATTAACATCTCAAGAGACTCGAGTCAACAAATTATGGCGAATCAAATTCAAAGAAATGCAATTATTGATTTGAATCCCAAAACAAGAAATGCAACTAAACAAACTAAAACGTACAGAATTTGTTGAACTGAATCTTCAAAATTGCCTGCCAGCAGCATCAGCAACAAAAGGCAATTTCGGAGTTCTTCCCAAAACCGAAAACACAGTGCTATAAACAAAGCAAACAACGACGAACACAAAAATCGCGTTGTGGCTCATCATCACCATCTTTCCCCCAATTCCATGAGGTCCTGGATTGAAAATCCGCTGAACCAACAAGGGTATAACCAACAAAACATCAAGTATTACCGCCTGCATCGCATTGAAACGAGCGTAACGGCTGACATTCGTGTTACGAACTACGCCGATGTATAGCAAGAGAAATGCGAGGTAGCTGGAATAAGGAATTGAACGATAGACTGAGAGTAAAGGTAGTAATGGCTCAATCGCAAGCCCTAGGGTTTTGGGGTACTGGGCGAAGAGGAAACGGCCGTATTGAAGACCGTTGAAGAAGGGGAAAAAGTACGCGGCGGCTGAAATTAATCGGTCGGTGACTGGCGTTGTGTTGTGAGACGCTGAGATCGTCGTGCGCCTCCGTGGTTGGGCGGCGGAATTCAAGCGGAGTGACAGTGATTGTGGTGATGAAGGCGATAGGATGCTTGATCTAAGAGGGTGAACCAAGATACTTGACCGATGAATTGTTTGTGGTGGTGGTGGTGACAAGGAGAGTCGAAGGAGGGGTATGGCTGCCATCTTCGGCGGTGGCGGTGAGTTTAGCCGGAGGGAGGCGGCCAGTAATTTTAGCGGATATATGTTGCAACAGTGCAGGGTTTTAGAAATACGGAAAGGATAATTAGAAAATGTCCAAATGAAATTTACAACTATATCCTTCCTCTAACCAAATTATTTCGAATGGGCCACCAATTTTTTGTGTTAATGTGTATAAAAGAATTACAACATCACGTATCCTCTTCATATGCCATCGAGACCGCACCGCCCCTCTCGACTATCATCCCCGGCATCAATTTCCGGCCACCAGCTCAGGTGAGTAAATATGCAAATAAAATTTCAAATATTAAAGATGGAAGCAACGACTTGAGGGAAGACGCGAAAGACGTTTCTAGAAAACAATATGGCCCTCCATTTTGTAAACCCTTTTGAATTGTGTACATGTGTCTTTTATGTGTGCCTGTATATATGCATATACACTCGCATATGATGTGCAATTTATATAATGTTTATGAGTTATGTATAAAAAGAAACAATAAAATTGTGGTTATTTGGAGGGAAAGTGTGGAGGAATGTAACATCACATCGATTGCAGTAAGTAGTGGTGGTGGAGATGTATTGGGCGTCATTCATGGAGGTGCAATGATAGGAATATGCCACAGTCAGTGGTCGGTGGTTGACGGGAATCTTCGTGATTTTTATGTGTAGAACTATAGATGGGGGTGGCTAATGGCACCCCTATCATGTGCTAATGTCACCCCTAAGTAGGCTTTAATCATTTGTCTTTTATAAATTTTTGTGTTTTTTTGTTTTTTTGTGATTATTACTTGTTATTTTATTATTAATTAAAGAAAATTTTAATTAATATATATTATTTATTTAATTTTCTGTTTTATTTATTTATTTATATTATATTTTAATTAATATAAATTATTAATAAATATATATTATTCATTTTATTTTCTGTTTTTTATTTGTTTATATTATATTTTAATTAATATAAATTATTAATAAATATATCTTATTTATTTTATTTATATTATACTTCCAAATGTGTTGAGAAGATGGAGGAGGCATCTTGTATTGAATTTATAAGGACAAAAATACATCACATGTTCAAGATCCTCCTCCTCACCCACATATATTATCATTAACAGTTCATCATTCACTATAAAATAAATTTAAATTCAACACATACCCAATTCAAAAAATTTAAATTTTAAAGATATTTATATTACTAAAAAATTTAAGTAACCAGTTTTATAAAAAACTCAATCATTTAACTATTCAAAAAAATGTAATGACTTAATCAATCAACATAAAAAAAGTTCAACAACTTATACAATAAAAAAATTCAAAAACTTAATAATTCAAAATAAAACAATTTCTTTAATATTTTGAACTTTTTTCTTAATTTAAATTCAATGCAAATGATTTCTATAAATATCTCATCAATTAAAATAACTAATTAATTATAAAAATTAACTTTTTGAATTAAACTATTTTAAGTTCTTAAAATAATTACAATGAGTCTTTAATAAAATATATATATATATATATGTAATATAATAGTAAATATATATATATATATATATATATATAATATAAGTGAAAATAATAATAATAATAATATAAATAAAAATATTATATAATATATGTAAAGTATATAAAGATTATATATATAATTATATAATATAACTTAATTAATTGATATATATATATATATATATATATATATATATATATATTAAATACTAATAATAATTAAATATAATATATTTTTAAAATTGATTTGATGTTTTCTGAATTTTAAACTCATCACAATTTCCAACACATTCAACACCCCCTTATAAGGGGTGCCATTAGCACCCCCCTATAGATATATATCAAAATAATATATAATATACTTTTAAAATATTTAATATAAATTTGAGAAAAGTAAAGTAAAATATATTTTATATAAACAAAATCCACACCATTCACTTTCCTCTCTTTTTAGAACATCTCTTCATCCTGTTTTTACCATTTCTCTTTTAATATGGGACAACTTCACCAACATTTTTATATTTTTTTGTCTTTTTTTAATTATGATTTTATCTTTTTTTATATTATGATTTTAATTAAAAAAATTTGATTAGTTTTTATGGTTAAAAAATACATAATTTTGTTCAAATATCTAAAAATATAAGACATTTTTATTATTTATATTTTACTAATTATATCTTAAACTAATTATATATAAAAAGATCGAGTTTCTCACGAGTTTTTGGAGTCCTTATTCGAGTCGAGTGTTGACCAAAGCTTGACCGAGTTGATCTCGAATAACTCACGAGTTGTCTCGTATCATTTACACCCTTAGATATCCCCAAAATTCTACCCAGCCCTTATTTTCCAACTTATTTTCTCCTTAAAATAAATGTCTATATTAAAAGAACATTTTTAAATAATTAAAATAAAACATTTTATCCTTAATAATAAAAAAGAAAAACATGAAGCACAAAGATAGTGTCTGATTGGTTTGAGTTTAAACTCAAAAGATCAAGTGTCTGGAGGTCCCAGGTTCAAATCCTAAGAGAAATAAAATTCTTTTTGTGGTCATGAAAGTTCAAATGCAATGACTCCAGGTTACCAACAAAACAAATGATCGTCCTAGGATTAGTCAGCTCGAACAGCAGGTTGGATATCCAGGTTAATAGGAATAAAAACATAATTAAATAACTATTTTTTACATCTTATAATTAAGAATGAAATGAGAAAATATTTTCAGAAAAAATTAAATAAAAATATAAACAGGAGGGATCAACAATTTTAATTTTAAATGTTTACATGAACAAGGCACAAATTTATTAAAGAAACCAACCAAAAGAAAGTGGAAATAATAGAAAATAGAAGCTCAACCAAACCACCACAAAAAAAGAAAAAAGAAAGGCCACAGTCCACAGACAGCCCTACTAAGGAAACAACAAACTAACCCAAAGACATGACTCCCCATTTACACCTTTTTTTTGTCTTCAAATACATATCTGAACATATTTGACTGCAGATATCAATTACTATGACCAAGAGAAGTAAATGTATACAGGCATATGCATCTCCTTGAGAGAGCGTATACCATGTCTTTGATGCAAACGACTATGCCAAGATGCCCTACCCACCATTCCCAGTGTTTGAAAACATTTCATGTTTACAGCCTAGAAAATCTCAACCCAATACATTAAATCCATAGTATAGAAAGACATCAGATTCATAAGATCACTAACCAAACAACCTACGGTTTAAAGAATATACAACTAGGGTATCAAGTAACTTTTGGTTGAGTTCAGATTTGGTCGGTTTTTTATGCACCCCAAGGCCAAGATGCCCCACCCACCATTCAAAGGGTTAAAGTTTTTGTACACTTTAAGCAAAAACAATCCTCATTCATCAAAGATGCCATTGTTTATCTCCTTTCATCTCATTCACATAAATGAGGCAAGAATCTTTACTAAAAACCCCACATAAAGGGAAAAACAAGACTTTAGACGTATAACTCGATCAAATGGCAAGTAAAACAGAAAGATGAAAGATGAAAGAAAAAGATTCAACCTCATATAGTGGCATGATTCCCATAGGGGTAATATGGGTAGGTTAAATGCACACTTCATATAACATAATAATGCTGGCAAATTGTTTGTACTTTTGACCATTTAAAAGAATTGGAAGAACCCATGATCAATTCTGAGCTTCTGACAATAATCAATTGATTTTGGGAGAAGTTGCACCAAAAAAGAAAGAGAACCTTGTTACAGTTCCCTGTGGACAGCAGAAAAAAGGCACAAACACAATCATAAAAGCTTTATCAGGCTTTTGTTCAATGGATTGAAGGGTAGGTGTCAAAAGGGTGTCCCCACATTTGACCACATGACAGATGCCCAACCCAATTACCAAAGAAATGGAACAGATTCAAAAACCATCATAATACATTCAATACACCAACACCACAAAATATCTAAACAAGCATATCTATCTATTGCAAGAAAATCAAAAGAGGGTCCAAAAGACACAGATCTTTAGGGAAACCCTAGTTTTAAGATTCATTAATGGCTTCCAATAAGCCATCGTCATGTATACATCCATATCTAAACAGAGAAGAAGTTACCACTGAGAAACAAGTGTTGCATTCTTTGGATTCCCATAAAGACCATAGTTATAATACTTGAACCCTAACTTTTTCTACTAGAAAAAAGTAAAATAAAAAAGTGCCATATCCGAAACCCTAATTTAAACGGTGACCATCATGAACTTGAAGCAGCAAACCCAACAAAAAAACTCATATCAAAAGCAAACATATTAAACTATGGTTCACCCATTGATTCATCAACATTGAAAGCAAAAAAGGTAAAGAGAATGATATGGAGGCAAAGCAAATGTGAGGAGACACATTTACCCTATATCCTCCACCATCCACGATAGCTGATCAGCGGTTGTTAGAAGTAGGGCATTCTCTGGCGAAATGACCATCTTCACCACAGTTGTAGCAGCCACCTCCGCCGCCGCCGCCTCCACGTCCACCATAACCTCCACCTCCTCCACCACCATACCTACCTCCGCCGCCGCCTCCACCACCATTCTGAGTGCATTCCCTAGCCATATGCCCACTCTCACCACACTTAAAACAAGCGTTACCACCACCACCACCACCTCCATAGCCGCCGCCACCACCACCATATCCGCCGCCGCCGCCACCATATCCACCACCTCCTCCTCCATATCCACCACCGCCTCGTCCTCCACGGCTACCACCGTTGTACCCGCCGCCACCTCCGTAACGATCACCGCCACCACCCCCATAACGATCACCACCACCACCACCACGGCCTCCGCCTCCACCTCCTCCACCGCGAGTACTTCCCTGCACAGGTGCTTCATTAGGTCCAGTAACATCTGCGGCCTTGGTACGGCCATCAGATCCGTTCTCAATCACATACTCCACCGTCTCACCATCACCAAGGCTTCGGAATCCATCAGCCCTGATTGAAGACTGGTGAACAAAGAGCTCTTCGCCGCCATCATCAGGAGTGATGAAACCAAATCCCTTGACGTCATTGAACCACTTTACGGTCCCTGCTTTCCTGGCGCCGTCAACATCCATTTGAATCAAAGGAAGAAAAGCTCACAAACCCTAGAAACGAAAAACCTCCCCAAATCAAGAAGAGAGCAAACCCTACTCTCTCTCTAAAAACTTGGGATGGCTTTGTTTTCTCCCCCACGCGCCTATATATAGAGAGAAGTTTTTTCCTTCAGGGGTATAATTGGAATCACATAATGACATGTCATCCATTGGAAAAAGTCTCTTTAATCACGACTTTTGTAGTTCTCTATGAGATCCAACGGCTATGATCGATCGATCTCTCAAAATTAATTTGTTTAAATATATAATTTTAAGCAATTTCGAATATGTTTTTCTACTTCCATCATAATTATCTGATTCGAAAATTGTTCAAATTCATCTCAAATAGTTATTATAAAATAGAAATTTTAATAGATAGCATTTTTTATTTTTTTATTAATAAGATTTATTTGAAATAAAAGTTTATAAAATAAATAATATTTTATTATATGTATTAAATATTTTAATTACAAAAATGAACATTATAATCTTTAAAATTAAAAAGTTGTATGTAATTTCTTTTTAATTTTAACTTTTGATATTATATTTTAGAAAAAATATAGTAAAATAATAATTAAAATCTTATTACTCTTTAAAAAATCAAAATCTTGAAAGAAAATTTATATTCATTTAAAGATTATAATACAAATTATATTATTAAAATATTTAATATCTTTTGTAAAATATTATTTCTCTCTCCTATATATTTTAATTTTAAGGATTCTCATGAAATATATTTTTAACAAATTATATTATTATAATCATCTCGTCAATACTTTCAAAATGAACTCAATATTGATTTTTTTTTAATTTAAACATATTATTATACATCATAAATACAATTATTTTTTATATTTACATTTATACCCTCATGGTTTTTTATTTAATTTATTATATATCATTTATTGTTTCGTTTTCATTTCACGATTCTCTTTAATGTTGCCACTTTATATCTTTAAGGTATAATGTTATATTACTTATCTTTACAATAAAAGTGTATGCACCGTATTTATTGTTGCTGACACAACCGCTATCATCCTCTCAACATGTGGCTATTGCAACCGGGAAGTTTGTAAGAGTGGTATCAACAGAAGAATACTTAATTCCTGCAATTACGTCATAATGGAAATATTATAGATTTTTTTTAATTAACTTGGATATCCAACCTGCTATGCGAGCCGACTAATCCCAGGGCGACCGCCTACTTTGCAGATAACCCGAAGTCATCACATTTGAACCTCCGTAGCCACAAATGGGATTTTTATTCTTCCTTGGATTTGAACATTGGAGATTTTTCGATTCAACTACATGGACTACCCATATATCAATATCAATTAAATGTGTACATAGAACATTTAGATTGTAACCACACTTGTAAATATATTGATTTAAATAATCGACACATATGTTATTTTATCTCTAATAATGTTTTTTGTTTTATAAAATAATGAATAATCAAAAAAGTTAAAAATGAATACAACTTAAATAAAATAATAACTGTAGAAGTTATTTTTTATTTGTTTTTATATTTTACAAATTTAATAAAAAAACGTCATTAATTATTCAATATAATTACAATAGAAAATGGAAAATACAAAAAGTAAGGAAAGTAACACAAAAACATGAAGAAGGTCAAAAACAATAAATTAAAAAATATAATTGAATATTTTATTATATTAAAACAAAATTATGAAAAGGATTTAAAGTGAAAAAATTTATTACTCTGTATTAAATTTTTTTTTTCTTTTAGTCAAAAATATATATTTTTATTAAAATAAACAATTGAATGGAGGAGTATTGATTAATTAAATATATTATTGAAATTAAACAAATATTTTCATTTTTATTAGAGTTGATTATTTGTGGGTTTGGATTACAGATGGTCGAATGGGTCCGGCTCGAAACCGATGGAGGATCGAGATTGAGACCAATTTGGGACCGGCTTAGTCCGAGACCGATTTTCAAGTTTTTGAATAATTCTACAAGATTTTTAAGTTTTTTTAAAAAATTATGTATCAAGTTTTTCAATAATTCTACAAGATCTTTAAGTTTTTAAAAAAAATATATATCAAGTTTTTCAATATTTCTACAAGATCTTCGAGTTTTTATAAATTATATATTAAATTTTTCAATAATTCTACAAGATCTTCAAGTTTTTTCTTTTTGACATTTTTCAAGTGTTTTGTAAGTGTTTCAATACTAAATCTCAAAAATCGTAACTATAAAAACATCTATAACATTTTTACATAAAAAATATTTTAGAAGATATTTTTAAAGCGTATTTCAATAAAATATTGACAGAAAAATATTCAAACAACATTTTTTATGTTCAAAATTAATTTTTGGGATAGAAAAAAGTTAGGACTGATATGGGCTGGCCCAGGACCGACTACGAAGCATACCTTGTATTTGGTCGGGACCGAAATTGATTTGGGCCCGGCCTGGGACCCATTTTTGGCCATCTCTAGCGGAGTCTAGCCTGTGACCCGTTTTGTGGGATTAAGAAGTTACCAATACTCGCCCTATAAACGGACCAAGCTTCGCCATAGGCGAATGGGCCTAACATTTTTCTATAAATGAAAAAAAAAACGTTCCACAAAAATATGAATTTTTATCAACTTTCAAAGCGTGTAGTTTTCAACAACAAAATATTAAACATTTAATGTTTCAAGATCAAGATTCGAGATATAATATCTAATATAGTATATATTTGGGAGGCGGTTCGCACAGAGGGAGTCCAACCCGAAGCCAGATCTATTTTTTTTAAATAAAAAAGCAGAAAAATATTAACTATATATAATTTTGTTAATTATGACAATGTAATGGTTCAAGCGGACCTGTCCAAAATTATCTTTCATCTCTCGAACCCCGGTCATAAATTTTAACGATCCAATTCAAGCTCAATCTTTTTTTTGAAAAAGGTTGTTCAATTATTTTAGACATAACTAAGTTTGAGTAAATTACATTTTTGATCCCTCGTATTTTTTTTGGTTTTCGTCTCTCCGATTGGTAAAGGTACACTTTTGGTCCATTTTTTGTATTTTAAAGTCCAAAGTCTCCCCTTCCATTAACTCCGTTAATCTGAGCTCCATTAACCTAGTCACGCGCCCCTCACATTTTTAGTCTTTCACCCATCTTCATTTCCCACCTCCTTCAACCTTAATTTAAGAACCATAAATTTGATGAAACCTAAAACACAAACACGTAAAATCAAAACCACATATACTATTTAAATCCAATCAAAAATATAATTAGCATATAAAAAAAATAACTTGCAGACATTTGAAAAATGGAGATACATAATCTAAAATTATTGCTTGGACTATAAATTCAGGGAATGGTGCTATCAAAGGAGGTGTGGAGTAAGAGGGACTATAGTGGTGTGGTTGAAGCGATGGTGAGATAGGGACGATTTGATCGAGAAGGGATGAACGGTGATGGGTTTCGTGGTGGTGTTAAGCTGTTGTGAAGATTGGTGGTGGCGGTGTTGATCTCGTATGACGATAGACTCAACGAAAAAAAGGGAGGGTTTGCTGGAAGGTATTGTTCGTCGAAGAAAGGATGCTTCATGAAAGATTTGGGGAAGGGCTCTTGGAAAATTCAAAAAGTGAGTTTTTTATTTTAAAGATATATTTTTTATTTATTTATAATAATATAAAATATTAACACATTTTTATTTCTTAAAATAAAAAAGAAAAGAGTAAAATGATAAAAAGATCCCTTATATGAGGGGCACATGACTAACAAAGTTAACGGGAGGGGCCACTTTGGGCTACAAAACACGAACAATAGACCAAAAATGTACTTTACAAATTTGAGGGATGAAAACTAAAAAACAACGATAAACAACAGACAAAATATAATCCACTCTTAATATCTTGAGCATTTTAATTGGTTAATTTGGTTTGTTTTTTTTATAATATTTATTTATCATGATATGGTATGTATTGAACTGTTGATATATATATATATATATATATAAATACATAGATTAATTGATTAAATTTCAAAAATAGATACTAATTGATGAATATATTGCATATGAAATTTTAATCATTTACATAATATATGTTAATCAATGAATACATCGTACGGAATTTTGATCATTTATATAGTATATTCCTTGATGAATATGCACTGTATTCACCAACAAACTTCATATATTATATATTTATCAATGAATGCACACTATTTCATTTGAGTTTTACGGTATGGTTAGAGACACCTTTATACATGGAGTACAAGTTATTTGTGCACAATAGAGCTTCCAATTTGAATTATTTCCCCGTTACTTTCTTCTCATATGAAGGTTCAAATGTTGGGAGGGACGGTCATTAATTTGCCCTTTTTATGTTCTTTCAATTCCTGAAAGGCAACAAACTTTTATTCAAGAAAAATAAAACAAATGACAGAACGAAGTTTGGCCACTGCAGGGTGCAATGTCCAAAACCATGTCGAAATAATCGGTAATAGGGTATAGAAAGCTAAAATACCATGTGGATTATAAAAAGATTAAAAATAACACAACCTGAAATTCTGATCCGAAGAGAGAGAGATAAAAAGTTCATCCAGAAATCTGGTACATAACAGCAATCCAATATTCCCATGTGATAAGATCATTTTGCAATCTTCTCAAAATCCAATCTTATACTCGAACTTGCATGTCAACAAAAAATACCTCCATAGATAATGACTTGCCTCTAAAAACAATGTTATTACGATAACCCTAACTCAAGTAAGATGTTGCCCAAATTGATGCTTGTCAGATTCTTTTGAGCAAACTTAAAAACAAAGTGCCAAACGAAAGATTAAAAATGTGGTCTCATCCCCCCCCCCCCAAATTTTCGAACCAATTCCCATATTTTTGTTGCGAACTTGCATCCCATAGGACATGATCTAACATTTGTTAAAAATTTGGGTTTTATACCCGACTTAGACCCTAAAATTTATTTGAACCCATGGTCGGGATGGATATATATTTATCGGTTTGCATTAGGGGTGCTCACGGCCCGGGTTGATCGGTTTGGAGCCGTTTTAACAATCCAACCCAATGTTGAC